CTCCTGCCAGCAGGAGGTGATCCCGCGGGGGGCGCTGGAAGAGCCCCGTAGGTCGCGGGAGCCCGCAGGCAGGTGTGGGGCTGAGGGGCCCAGGGAGAGCCGGGGCTGGGAGAGTGTGCTGCGCCTGTAGGGCCACAGGGACACCCACCCCACGACCCCTGGATGGAAGACGGGCATAGGGATGAGGCAGAGCCTGGCATGAGCCCCCGGGAGCAGGGGCTCCAGGAGTCCTGGTGTTCTAGGGAGGCCAGCATGGGGCTCTGTCTTGCCCCTCCCTTCCTGGGGACACCTCCAGGCAGTGACCCCTGGTGACAAGGAGAGGAGTAAGTGGCGCCAAACCGCAATGTCTGGGACTTGCCAGGGAATGTGCGCTCCCCAACTGGTGGTCCTGGTCACAGGGCCCCTGAGCAGCTGTGCGGGCCACCTCTAGCGCCTCTCCTGGCCCACGGCCACCACACTTGCTAGTCGGGCCCAGACTGGCCAGAGCTGTTGCTGGGACATTGGTCCAATCTGCCCACGTCTGCAGCAGAACCTTATCTGTCCCCGGAGCAGGCCTGGACCAATGGGAGGGGCCCTGGGAGGGGGTGGCCAAGGCCACAGGGGACCCAAAGCACCCCCATGGCTTTGGATCACTGAGGGAGTTGGTGACGCTACACTGGGTTCTGGCTGGGGATGGACCGAGGCGTGGTTGTGTGGATTAGATGGGAGACACATGTGTGGTGTGCAGACAGGTGGATGGTGAAAGGATGAACGTGGGACCAAGTGATAGCTGCGATAGAGTAACGGATGGATGGGTGTATGGACAGATGGATGGATAGATGGACAGATGGATGGGTGGATGGATGGATGACTGAATGGATGGATGGATGGGTGTATGGATGAACGGCCAGAGAGATGACAGGATTGGTCAGAAGGGTGAACTGATAAAAGAAAAGAATCAATAAGTAATTGTAGGTAGGCTGAAGGGACGGGCAGAATCATGGCCAGACAGACACGCTGCTGTGAGCTGGGACAGGCAAGGTGGGTGGTGCCAGGGACTGGACTTTGGTGTCATTTTGAGGATGTATTTGGAAAAACTGGCAAATAGGAGGAAGTTAGGGCCTGTCCCGATCCCTCTCCACGGTGTCATTGGGATGAAACCGGAAGCAACGCCCCCTCCCATCTGTGTCCCTCCGCCACTGAACCTCTTGGGCCCTGATGAGCAGCCCCACAGGGCGGCCCCTTCCCGGGAGGCAGGCTCCTCTTGCACTACGGCCCTTAACTCTCCTGGCCCCAAGGCTTTCTCCAGCTCTCCTCTCTTCCCCGGTAGCACCCAAGGCTTTCCTTTGGTCCTGGGGATGGGAACCCTCGTGATTCTGACGGGGTCTGGGGTGTGCCAGCCTGTCCACATGGGGAATGGTAGGCACTGGTCTTTGCCAAGAGAACACCCCCCCCAGACACCACCACCTGGGGACAATGACACGTCCTAAGAGAAAGGCCAGAGAGAGGAGGGGGTGGGAAAGGTCGAAGGGTCACACGTCAGGGCGCTTTCCACCGGGGGTGAGGGGGCCCAGGCGCCAGCATCCGCTGTCCCAGCCTGTGCATCCTCCCTGACTCGGCCCTGTGGGCCGGGAGCTCCGGCCGCCGCCCGCCTCACTCTGCCCTCCTGCCGGCGCTTTGGCCTCAGAACAGGGTAATGCTGCCGTTTCGGTTTGACTTGTGGGGGAGGGAGGGTCTGCGAGCAGCCGCATCTCACTGAGCTTTGGGCTCACCAGCGTGTCCGATCTCGGCCCCTGGGGAAGAGACCCTCACGTGCACACCGACGGCCCACAAGCTCGGGAGGTAGCAGGGCAGGCCGGCCTCTGAGCTGGACGCCCTTCTGTCCAGACGCCCTCTTTACATAAGGAAGGCAGGGGGGACACAGACCACCAGCAACTCCAGCTCTGGCCGCCCCCCCACTCCCCGACCAGAGCTACTCATTGGGAGTTTGCCTTCTCTGTGAGCACTTTGGCCAAACAGGGCCTGAGCACAGCGACCAACAGACATGCCGGCTCCCAAAGCATGGAAGGGGCCCTGGACGGAAGGAGCCGCCTGCTTGGTGTGACCCAGCCCACACCCGGCATCCACTGACACGTCGCCCCCGGGGACACCCCCTCCCGCCCCCTCTGGGCCTCAGCCTCCTCGCTGCCAGCCCCGCCCACCTGGCTGCCACCCTCTGACCCTGCGGACCCTCTCTGCTGGCAGGGGCTACGTCTGTCGGCCTCTGGCCGGCCCCTCGTGCCAGGCTTCTGTAGCCCTGGCCAGAGGAAGGTCTTGGTATATGAGATACAGGTATGGGGGTCACACAGGGAAGATGGCCTTTCCTAGCTGGCTTGAGGCGACCTCTTCCCAACAGCTGGGGTGGAAGGGGCCGTCCCCACCTCGGACCCTCAGCCTGTGGTCCGGCCCTGCAGGCTGGTCTGGCCCGATGCCACCAGCTGGCCAGCCCTGGCGTGCCTGCCTGAAATCAAAGGGGACCCTGAGAGGGGAAGAGGAACAGAGGCCGGCAAAGCACACCCGCGGGGCTGCAGGTGAGGTGCTCCTCCCAGCCAGGACTCACCCTGCAGTCCTGACATCAGGGCCTCAGACCTCCACACCCACACCCCAGCGCGCCCAGGGCGCCACCCTCCACTGGCACAGCTTCGTGGGAACGGAGTCCGAGGGGAGAGGTGGGGCTACGTCACAGCACGTGCACAACCGCCCTTCTGACAGGTTCAAGTCTTGCGAGAGAGAAAGCAGACTGGAAACATGACGGGTGGGCGCCCGCTGCCTCACGAGAGCCGAATTCCACCTGGCCCCTGGTCTTCTGAAACCCACAGAAGCGAGCCTCTGAGAGGCGGGTGGCCCTGCAGCCCCAGGCGGCCCGGGAGCTTTCTGGAGGGTGAGATAGGTCTAGCTCGATGGTCAGAGTTAGGGCTCCTGCCAGGTAGGGTTCGGATGGCACCTGGTCTGTGTACCGATGGAATCCTTCCTGGCAATACTCAAAGGGTGAATTCTTACAACTCTGAAAAGTAACAGCGATCAACAAACCCATTGCTCCCCGTAGGACCGCAGTTCGGCTTTCTTTGAAAACCTAGTTCCTGAACTTTACATACTTCCATGGTTTCTCTTAATTTTTTTTTTATTTGGCAAACATCTCTTCTTTATTATCACCATCATGAATATCATCACTTGGACCTCCGCAAGGACTATATACATTCACATTATCGCAGACTATTGACCTCTTCCTCTCGGTGGGGCCCCTGGGCACCCGGTTTCAGTAGCTGGTCACTATTGCACTCCAGTCCAGGGAACTCCTTACAGCCATGCAAGAAAACACAGATCGGAGACCATGTTTGCTGTTTGTTCTCCCACTGGGTACAGATCAGAATTTCCTTATTCTTTTATTTCCTCCTTGAGATCGCTGGGGGAGTTGAGTGTGGTGGGGGGACAGGGCTAGGCTTGGCGGGGGGATTTCGGAGAGAACATCCCCTGAGGAACAGCTAGACAAAAATGCAGGGTTATATACAGCTGATCAAGTCTCCAGAAGGTGCGGGGAGGGCGGATTGCTTTCCTTTGTCGTTTTTTTCCTTTTTCTGCAGAAGCGTGGAGCTGCAGGAGACACAGGGGCTGGACGGAAAGACGAGGTGGGCGGGAGGCTTCCCGGAGCGGGCGGCAGAGGTAGGGGATGACAGCGAGAAGCAACGGTTGAAGGCGCAGTTGCTGTCTCCTCGCACTTTGAAACGCAGTCAAGAATCAACCCAAAAGATTGTCACAGTTCCGTCTCAGAATTATGTTCTCTCTGGGAAGGACACGTGAGCACTTCTTTTTCACCAATGGAAGGAATGAAATGTGATGGAAATTCACAGATGGAGTGAGGACAGACGAGGTACCCTCCCTGCACGTGTGCAGACGCACGCTGGGCGTGCCCCGGGTGCACACGCAGACGGGCACGCACGCGTGGATGACGAGGGCCGAGCTGCCCACCCCACCCGGCCCCGGCGGAGGTGCTGCTGTCGAGTTGAAAAGAAAGAAGTCGCTTCTTGTTGGACAAAACACTTCAAACCCCAACATCCCAACCCCCCGAACAGAATCAAAGCAAAAGACCGACATCTGAACAAACCCAGGCGTAGAGTAAGACAGTGAAATAAATACTTTGGCAGCGACAAAAAAATTGTGGATTTGGACTTCTCGTGTTTGTTTTTTGGATTTCCTTTGGAGCAGAGGTGTGTCCGGCGTCCTTGGCTGGCTAGCTGGCAAGGTAGTTTACAGGTATGCTTCCTTTACCTTTTTTTAAAAAAACTTTTTGGATTTCTACTTAAAGCCAAACAGTTTGACATTAAAGGAAAAAAAAACAACAACCCTGAAACCAAAAATTACTTCTTGAGTCTGAAATTGACATCTTTCTAACCGTCCTCACTGCACCTGCCACACACCCCGGGGGGTGGTTTCCGTGACACAGCGGCTCAGATCTCCGGCTACAAAAGAACAGTTTTCTTTTTCCCTTTTGAATCAGGAAGGGGGGAAACAAACCCCACAGTTTTCTTTGTCCATTTCTGAGTAGCTCTTTTGCCAAACAGCCCCCCAAAATTCTTCAATGAAAATATAAGCCACCAAACAATTAGATTTTTTCATTGAAGAGAAAGTGTGTGAAAGTCATAAAGAGAGAAAATGAGAGAGAGAAAAAGGGAGAGGCGGGTGTGGACGAGCCGGTCACCTCTGCCGGCGTCCGTCCGGCTGCCTAAAGCTCGTCGGGTGGTTTCTCAGGATGCACGAGAGGTTGAGGCGTGATCGTCATCAGGTAGCTGAGGAAGTTGCATTGATGCAGTCTTGTTGGTTCTGTGTTTTCTTTTGGAGAGAAGCAGTAGCAGCAGTGACTCCCAAGGTCGGCTCCCAGGTCTGGGCGCGCGTCTAGCGGGCCGGGCGGGGCCGGGTGCGTCGATGGGCACTGGGTCCGGGCGGGTCAGCGGGGCGCGGCATCCAGCGGGCCGGGCGGGCCGGGGGAGCCGGGGCGGGAGGGCCCCGTGGAGCCCGCCTCGCTGGGGCTGGCGGCGGCCGGGGGCAGGCAGGGGCCCAGGCCTGGGGTGGCGTCAGGCTGTCCGGGCACTGGCTCGACCGCTGCGGCCGAGGGGCCCTGCAGGCTCTGGCCGCACACGTGGTGATGCTTCTCCCAGTCCTTGTGCTGGCAGAAGGAGCCGCAGTAGCGGGCCGCGTTGCAGCCGCTGCACGTCTCGCTGGCCTTGCGCCCGCAGTTCCAGCAGCTCTGGATGTGAGGGGGCACGGTCAGAGGTGGCCCGGGCCGGCCCCCCAGGTCCCCAGAGTACCCTTCCTGGCTGCGGACCAGGGAAGCACACACTCCAAACACACCTGCTCAGACCCAGCCACGACATCACCGAGCAACAAGAGAAAAGCCCCAGCTTGCGATGACCCCCTGCAGACACGGCCCCTCAGCTGGGACGTTTGGGGGGGACGGGCTCCCACAACTCCAGCCCACCACAGACAGGTTCACGGTGGGCCACAGCCCCCTCCCTCTCTTCCAGGAAGCCCTCCTGGCCTCGCCAGGGCTCCGATACCAGAATGTGGCAGCCCTGGCAGAGTAAAGAGGCGGGCTGCGCAGCCACAGCTGCTGAGGTCCCGTCCTTCCCCTACCACTGGGCCTCTGATCCTTTTTTCTGTAACAAGCGACGACCCCAGCCGCCCAGATGAGCAGAAGGTTAGCAGGGATTCCAGCGAAAGGCCGGAGGCAGCAGCCCAGGCTGTGGGACGGGGAAGCTAAACCACCCTGGGAGGAAGGTCCAAGCGCCCATTTAGCCCCCAAAGCCTCCTGCTGGCCACACTCTGCAGGCATGCCCCCCGCCCCACCCTTGCTGCTCCCCAGATTTCTGCTGGCTCACTCCCTCAAGGACTGCTCGGACGGACGGTACCGCTAGCGGGCTTCCCTGACACCCACCGTCCTCCCTACGCACGTCCACGGCCTGAAGCGCCACAGGATGTCCTTCTGTGTCCCTGCTCCCCTTGCCCCCTCGGGGCCAGCTCAGCACAGACGACTCCAGGGGCCTTTGGAGAAGTGCCCTCCCCGAGGACAGTCCCAGGACCCCTGGAGAGAGCCTCTCCCTCCTCCTGACCTCTCTGCCGTCCAAGCCCTTCTCAGACAAGGAGAGAATGCAGTGGACGCGCAGGTACCAACACGGTGACTCTCACGCCCCACTGCTTGCCTCTGCTCTCACAGCTTAGAGGGAGGCTTGGTGTCTGCCAGCCTGGGTTCAAATAACGGCCCCACCACCTCCTAGGGAGTGACCTGGTGCAGACCTGGGGTGAGCCATCTACCCTCTGGAGCCCTCAGTGTCCACATCTGTACGATGGGGACAGCCACAGGACCTGCCTCACCAGGCCGTGTGGGGTCAAGGGGCCCCGGGGCAGCCCAAGGTCACGTGGCTGGGAAGCACGTGACCGGGAGGCGGTAGAGTGGGGTTCTGGCCCCGGACTGGGTGTGTGTGTGGGGGCAGGGAGGGCGGGCAGCCCTACCTCGCTGGAGTCCTCCTGCTGGTTGACCACGGTGAGGGCGTCCTCGGAGGCCTGCCGCCGCGCCTCGGCCAGGGCCCGCTCCATCTTGGCTCGCTCCATGCTGATGAGCTCGTGGGCCTTGCGCTCGGCGTCCGACACGGCTTTCTGCAGCTCTGACATCGCCTGCCGCTTCACCTCGTTCACTGCTTCCTCTGCAAAGGACGCCCCCGGCTGGTCGGCACCTGGACCGGCCCAGACGGGTCTCCCCTGCCCACAGCCCCGGGGGCGTGAATGGTCGCGGGGGAAACCTGCAAAGCCAGCCCTCTACTGTAGTGTAGAGGACCGTCCCCTGGAGGGCGGGGACCGGGCCCACGCCCACATTCTGAGTCAACAGGCCTGGGCGCGCCCGCAGGGACCCCCACGCAGACGCAGACAGGGAGGGTGAGAGGGTCTGGGGCCCCGGGCCACCCCCACTCACCAGCCTTTCTCCAGATCTCCTCGGGCACGTAGCTGGACAGGGTCCGAGGCACGGACTCCCGGTGGACATCTGAAACACAGGAAGGCCGGCATCACACACAGGACGGGGCCCACCCGACTGGGCCATGGGCGCAGGGTGTGTGATCTTGGGGCCCCAAGGTACCCATGGTGGAAACCCTGTTATCAGTTGCTGGGCGGGGGGAGCAGGGTGATGTCAGGAAGGGAGACCCTCGGGAGCCGATGGGCTTTGGATTCGGCTGGGAGCTGGGCCGAGCCTGGCCCCTCTGCGTCTCCACGGTCATCATGCAGGGGCCTCCCAGCGCCGGGCCCCTGGCCTATCGGAGCCGAGAGCTGGGCCTCCCAGCGGGTCAGGCAGCGTCTGTGCAGCAGGCAGCCCCTCTTTCCCAGGTTACACGGTGTTGGGTGCTATTTCACTGCAGGGCCGTGTGAGGGCGCTGCCGTGGCGAGTGGTGGCCTCGGCCCCGGTGCCCCGCGCGCGCCCACAGAGCACACCTAGCTGAGAGCCCTCAGCGCCCGCGGAGCTGCCGAGGGGCCGGGCGGCGGGCGCGGGGCCCTTCTTGCTGTCCTGGGCGGCGTCACTGTGGCGCCGGATCCAGTGGTTGAGCTCCTCGCGGTCGGCCTCCTGGCAGCGGCGCAGCACGGTGAGCGACCGCCGCGTCTTCTCGGCCATGTCCATGATGCAGGTCAGGAGCTGCGGGCACGCGGGGCCGGGTAAGCCACTCGATGACGAGGACAGCCGGGACACTGCCCCACACTCCGGGCCCGGCCAGCCCGCCCGCCAGGCCTTCCCAAGGGGGCTCAAGGCTGCGGCCTGAAAACCCACCTCCACTGCCCGAAAAGACACCGGAGCAGCTGGGTGGGGCTGGGGGGGCGACCGGGGCACCACACCGGCGGGGAGGCTTGTCCCGACCCAGGGCTGGGGCTCTCCCTGCAGCCCTCGAGGGGCGGCCTGGCCCGCGAAGCAGACGGGCCAGCGCCGCTCTGGGGACCACCCTTCTCTTGGGCTCCCCTCCCCAAAAGGACGCGGGGCAGGGATGACCCTGAAAATGGTGTTAAAGGGGTCCCACCCCCGCGGCCAGGGGACCTTTCTCCGGGAGACGGTCCGCGGGGCCCTAGAAGGGAGGGTGCTGAGGGGCCGACCAGGAGCGCACGGGCGACCCTAGACAGGCGGGCGCAGGGCCAAGGGGGCGCACACGAGCCCTGCCCCCGCAGCCCCCGCAGCGCCCGCAGGTTGGGCAGAGCGCCTGCGAGTTGCTGCGACGCCCCGTGGCCCGAGCCTGGACACTCACGTTGTTGAGGTGCTTCCACTCCTCCGACCACTCGCGCTCCGTGAGCCTGTGGTCAATCACTTCCTCAGGCCGGGACCCGTGCACGGCTGCGGAGGAGGCTGACGCTCAGGCCCCGCCCCCGCTCATCAAGCCCCGCCCCCGCTCACGCCCCTGCCGCAGGCCCCGCCCACGGGCTGTGCCCTCCCGTGGAGAGGTGAGGAAGAGAACCCTGGGCACTGACGTCTGCCCACTGCCCTGGGGGCTCAGGAACAGGCCTGGCCTCTACTCATGCTTCGGAGGAAGAGACCCCTGTCCCCATCCCGCGCTTTGGCCACCCCCCCCCACCTCCAAATCCAGCCACTCTCACTCTTTCTGCCCCCTGCTGCTGGCATAGTGGCCTCAGACCTCAGTCAAGGGGCTTCCCCACTGCTCAGGGCCTCCTGTGGCTGCCTGGCTTCACCCATACTTTACTGCTTCCCCGGAGCTAGCTGGACTCCTATGCGTCCTTCAAAGCACAGGTCACAGGCTCCTTCCTCCTCAGCAGCCTTGGGCTCTCAGGCTTCCTTAAGCCCCATGTATCTCTGGTTGTGTAGTAATTATAGGTGCTTCTTAGCTTATTCTCAGTCCTGCCAACAGACTGTGTCAGTCCCCAGGGCAGGGCCAGTGTGGCCTGTTCACCTCTGTGTCCCCTGGGCCGAGCTCCAGCCTGGTAAGAGGGGTGATCCGGCTTATCTGCTGGGTCTCAGGTGAGCAGGTCTAAGTGTGGTCTCCTGGGAAACAGTGGGGTCGGGAAAAGCCAGAGCCCTGACACTCATTCCCCATGGGACCTGGGCCCTTTGTCTTGCTTGTGGCCTCAGTTTCTCCCACCCTGCCTGCCTCCCGGAGGTGTGATAAGACTCAAGACGGAAGACGAGATGGAGGGGAGGGCCCTGGGTGTGGAGCAGGGCTCTGTGCTAAGGGCTTTACGGGTTCATCCCTGCCTCAACCTCCAACCGTGTGTGTGTGGGGGAGGGGTTCTGCCGTTATTTCCATTTTATAGATGAGGAAACTGAGACTGGTTACAGGGACATGTGGACCAAAGTAAAGCAAGGTCGGCTGGAGCTGGGGCTGTGCCCTTAGCCGCTGGCTGGTATAGCTCCAGAGACTGAAACAATGGGGTGCCCACACCCCGTAATCAGAAACAAAAAAAACAACTGAGAGGTGAGAAATTCACACCAGCAGGGCAGCGTCTGGCTTCCTCACAGCAGCTCCTCCTACACTTTTTGAAATACCGAATGTGCTCACCCCACTGTGACCCAGCAGGGCCCATGCTTCCTGGGCTGGAGTCTACTTAGGCCTTTTTTAGCCCCCAAACCTGAAATGCCTACCCAAACTGCAGCAGAGGTGGGAGGTAGTAGCCACAGCCCACAGTACAGCACCCTGCCCTGCTGCCCACGGAGCTGGGGCCTGCACCGACGCCCTGCCCTGCTGCCCACGGACCTGGGGCCCGCGGTGCACCACCCTGCCCTGCTGCCCACGGAGCTGGGGCCTGCACCGACGCCCTGCCCTGCTGCCCACGGAACTGGGGCCTGCACCGACGCCCTGCCCTGCTGCCCACGGAGCTGGGGCCTGCACCGACGCCCTGCCCTGCTGCCCACGGAGCTGGGCCTGCACCGACGCCCTGCCCTGCTGCCCACGGAGCTGGGATCTGCCTGACAGCTGGTGTCTATTTTTGCTTTAGCAGAAGCGGGCGGGAATTAGCACCTGCCTGACCCGGCTGCAGGGAGCCAGACGCTGTCACCTGCTGCCCGGGCCCGGGCCCTGGAAGCTTCCGGGGGGAGGAGGCAGGGGCAAGGCCTCTGCTGACCCTTCCTCTGGGCCCACCATCGGTGCCCTGGGCCTCTGCCTCAGGGGCAGCTGTTTCCAGGTTCCCTCACCAAAACGCTGGGGGGGGGGGGAGGTCCCTGGGGTGGAGGCTAATCCTATTCATCCCTTTGACCCAGCACAGAGGAAGGTCAGAAGGTCAGTCGTGGTAGCTAGACGACTTTGGGCCTGTTACCCCTTTGGGCCTCAGACTCCCCATCTGTGATGTGGGCATGCTAACACATCACACAGGTGTGTCAGAACACATCGGGGTGCTGCCTTCTAGGACCCAGCAAAACATACAATGCCAACAAGAGGACCCCCGGGACCTGCCACACCACCACCAGTGACAGCTGGGTCTCAGCACCCACTCTGGGCCGGGCCCTGTATTAACACCCTCTCACTCCCTGAAGGTGGGGCTGCTCTTAAACCCAGCCAGCAGGGAGGAAGCAGGCATGCAGGGCACGTGACCTGCCCAAGGGCACACCTGGGGGAGCTCGGAGGACCAGGCAGTCCTGCCCCCGGGGGGTGTCGCCCCAGCGCCCAGCCTCCCTGATCTCCTTCGTTCTTGCACGGACCACCCTCTACGGATTTGGTGTAGCAGGACCCGCCATGTGTGCTCAGTGGTGCCTCTGCTTTCCCTCGGGGCGCCTGTGCGTTGGGGGGGGGGGCTGCAACTCCTGCGGCTTGGGGACCCTCCACATGCTGGGTCTCTCCCGGCTGCCAGTGCATCCTGAGCGGCTCTAGATCCCATACCTGGCCCTGCAGAGTCCCCAGGACAGGCACCTCTGCAGCCATGGCGCCCACCTGTCATGGGGAGGGGCCCTCCTGGCCCTGAGGTGGCGGCGTCCAGCTGCCCCCCCCGGGAAAGATGGCTGTCCCTCAGGCTTCTGGGCGCAGCCCAGGCGGGGTGGGGCGCAAATCTCTCCTCTGCACCCACGTCCTCAGTGCCCATCCTCCCCGGACAGACGCGGCCGGGCAGCGCCAGCGTTCACCAGCACACGGCAGCCCCGGATGCTCCGCCCGCCCCCACCTCCACTTGGCGCACGCGTGCACCCCCGCAGCGCGCCGCTCACCCAGCTGCCGATGGCGCTCCCGCAGCTCCCGGGGGTCAAGGTGGCGGTAGGAGTCCCGGAAGTGGTGGGCCACGGCCATGTCCTCCAGGCGGTAGTGCGGAGGCGGCGTGGGCTGGGGCAGCCCGTTGCTGGGGCTGCAGCGCTGGGCGGGGCTCAGGGTGCAGGGCCGTTTGCTGAGGTGGTCCGGGTGCAGAGGGTCACGGTCTGACCCGTTCTCTTTGGTCCTGGTCCCAAGAGCAGGCAGGGGACAGTGGTCACGGGGCCACAATCCGTGGACAGAGGGGTGAGGGGAAGGTCGGGGCGCGGGCAGAGAGCGAGCGAGCGAGGAGGAGACAGACCGAGGTGAACAACGGGAGAGATCAGACCCGGCCGCTGGGGGCCCAGCCTGGTGCGCCCCTCTTCCCCCTCCTCTGGGGCTCCTGGGGTGAGGTGGTCAGGAAGCCTGGGCCTCCTTGGAGAGAGTGGGGGAGACACCCTCCCCCATCAGCAAGACAGGTACCCACGCTATGACCCAGCAGTGCGGGCCAGCCCAGGCACCTGGGCACCTCGGGCTGCTGGACACTCGGGGTGCACGTCCAGCACGAAGGGAATAGCCAGGGCACGCCGGCCAGGCAGTGTCTGTCCTGCCTCCGCCCCTGTCCTCCCGGGGCATCCGAGTCCTCAGGAGAACCCGCCACAGCCATACAGGGCAGCCTCCCGGTGATTCAGCCTGTTCAGTGGCCTTGCACCTCAGGCTGAACCTGACCAACCCAGCAGCGGCTGCCACAGAACGCAACGTGGCATCGGCCTGCGTTCTCTCGGCCCCAGGACTGGGGCGCCTGCTAAGCCTCGGCGCCAGCGCAGCTCTCGAGAGTCAGGTAGGGAGAGAGCCGGCCCCTCCACCGTCCCCCCAGGCACCTGTCAGGTGTCCTCCTCTTGCCATTCTCGTTGACCTCCGGTAGGAGCTCCGAGGAGTCGGTGGGGGAAGAGGCGCTGGCATCCAGCAGGAGCTGCTCGTGCTGGGCCAGGTACTGGGCGGGGGTCTGCTTTGCCAGGCGGGCGCAGTGCAGGAGCTCCCGCTGCAGCAGGGGCAGGTTAGCCTGTGGGGGGCGGGGAGGGGCTTGGACCGGCTGCTGACTGAGGTCAGGGCGCCAGGTGCTTGGAGATGAGGCAGGGACGCCAACGGCCAGCCTTGCTGTGTGACTCTGGGCAAGCTGCACGACCGCTCTGGGCCTCGAGTTCCTCTGCTACAGCCTGGGGATGAGGCGGGACCATGCCCCCCAGGAGACCCAGTGGTTTGGGGTTTTTCCCCTTCACCAGGCTCCCTCCTGCATTGGCATCTGGAGAACTCGAGGCGGGCTCCTCACCAGGACCCGCTGCCTGCGCCTGAGGAAACAGGCCCCAGACGACCACCCGCACGGAGAAGGAGAGTGAGGCTCAGAGGGGACGGGGCAGCCCTGCACACAGTCACCGCAGTGGATGAGCAGGACCCCAGCACACCTGCCGCAGACCCCAACGTGCGCTGGCTGGTCCCGCCTGCCCACTTTCTGCGGGTTCCCAGCCCAGCCTTGAATGAAGGTATCAGTGTACCCACACCGCTCTGGGCCGTCATGCGTGTCACCTCCCGGAGTTGGACACGACCACTGGGTTCCACATTTGTGGGTAAGGACACCACAGCACAGGGAGCAGAATGGCACGTGGGGGTGGGCACGGGATTCGAACGCAGATCCCACCTGTGACCACCGTGCGTAACTGCCGTGCCCTCCTGCCTCCGCCCTGCTCTAGGCCTCCCAGCGAGCACGGCAGGGCCCCGGGGGCTCGGCGGTCTCCCCAGAGCCACCGTGGGGGGATGCCGGCTGGGTGGGGGCGCAGCAGCAGGCCGCTTGGGAGGGCCAGAGTTCTAAGTATTTGTAACGAAGTGTAGTTCCCCAAGTTTCTCACGGTGTTTCAAAGCCACCTCAGCAGCCTCTCCCGCCTCTGCACCGCCAGCCCCCACTAGCGCATCCACCCAGACGTGATCAAGCAGCCAATGCGTTTTTGTCAAGCAGTGCCGGCTGCCAGGCCTGTTCTTTTCCTACTTGGATAGCTGAACAGGGGCCAGCCCGCCATCTGTCGAACACGTTAGGAGCGTGAGCTGGGAAAGGAGGTCCCGGGAGGTCCGAGGACGCCAAACATCCTCCCTCCCCCTCGCCAGCCCCTCCTCTCCTGGTGCAGCAGGGTGGGGGACAGCACGGGCCCTGGCTGGTTGCTGTTAGAGCCATGGAAACATCTGGATTCCTGGCCGGCTGGACCCAGCTGCGAGCCGGGGCCACGGGTGGAGGGCTGGCTGGGCGGGGCAGCATCTCCCAGCTTCCGGAAAGCCCCACCACTCAGCCCTGCACAGCGTTAGGCTCAGGAGAGGGTGCAGGGGACCTGGGGCCTTTGGCTGGGGGAATGGGGACCAGGGCCCAGAAGAAATGCATAGACGCTATGGGGGGCAGTGCGCATCTCCTTCCTGGGCAGCAGCCCCAATTCTGTCTCCAAGGCCTGGAAGGCCTTGCCACTGAGATGCTGGACAGACCAAGCTGGTGAATCCCAGCTCTGCCACCTGAAAGAAGGTTCCATGCTGCCCCCTTCACAGACGAGACCGGCCGGAGGGAAATCAGTGTTTGCATAAACACCCGCAGTCAGCATTACTGGAGCAGGTGTCTCCCATTCGGTGAGAGTTTATGATGTTTCCAATGCTTTCCCAAGGACCTCCTCCACTGCCCCACACTCCACTGCAGGCCCTGTGTCTGCCCACCCTGGCTGTGCTGTGTGACCGTGGGCAAGTCACTTAACTTCTCTGACTTCTGCCTCACCTGCAGCTGGAGCTGCAAGAAGCTCTGGCTCCTCCCATCCTGGGTGTGAGGCTCCCACGAGTTTCTCATGAGTTAACTCTCCCAGTCCCACCTGAGGAGGTGGGCTGTCACACCCCAGGGACCCGGGAGGGGACTGGGAAGTGGGAATTCCAGTTGCCCAAGGGCAGAGCTGGGTTTGAGCCGGGTGGGCTGGCCACTGCTCCTGCCTCTGCTATAGGAGATGGCGCCAAGGGCCACCACATGGGTGCGCCACGGTTGGGCCTGGGAGGCCGTCAATCCCCAGGAAGGCGGTGCCCCCGCTGCTCCCAGGTCACAGGTGGGGAAACCGAGGCCACCCAGCAGGCCGGCACGCCCCCAGGCTCCCTGCGGCACTCTGTGTGCTCAAGAGGCCAGGGTCCCACGGTGAGTGGGGGGGGGGCAGGGGCGGGGCACTTCCCAGGCAGGGCCGCGACGACTTGTCCACAAGCCCTGGGAACAGGACTGGCCACGCCCAGGAGCCCCACGTCTGGCAGACGAATGGACTGTGTCCCTGACAGCCCGCCGGCCCAGGGCCCTCACCCAGCTGCCCCAGGGCCCTCACCCAGCTGCCCCATCACCAGGAGAGCAATCGGGGCGCCACAGCTCCGACAGCCCCGTGACTGCGCTGTGGGCAGGGGGCACAGCGAGGCAGGCACTGCCAGGCCTGCGCGTCCCGTCTGGCGCCTCACTGGGGTGTGCCTGGGAGGATGCGGGGATGCCAGGGCGAGTGGGGCTGGCCGGGGCGGCGCGGGGATGTGGCGTGTTTTCCCTGCTCCTGCTCCTCTGATAAACAAGGGCAGCGGACACAGGCGGGTGGGACCTGTGCTGTAAATGTCTAATCTGACAGGATAAGCAGGCACTGTGTCCCCCACGATGGGGAGCGTGGAGTCAGCAGTACGTTGAAAGCAGGGAGGAGCGGGAAGGGCTCCTGATGAATTGCAAATGACTGCCAGGTGGGCAAACCCTCAGCCCAGCTCATGGTGAGCTCAGCGGGGTGTGGGCGGGAAGGCGGGAGGAGGGAGCGGATGTGGGGTCCCCTTGCAACGAGGTGCGGGCCTGGGGCACACCCCGGGCAGGCTGGGAGGCTTGGAGCTGGAGGGATCGGGGCTCCGGCTTTGCTCCACCCCTCCACCAGAGGGGACCTCAGGGCCTCAGTTTCCCCGCCTATTAACCGGGAACAGTGGCAGTGCCTGCGCCACCCCCCCGCACCCCGAGGGCTGCTGGGGGCTCAGCAGGGGAAGCTGCAAAGGACACGTCGTCTGCAGAACACCTGAAATCCCCAGATGATGACGCCCAGTGGCAGTCGAGCACGTCCCAAAGTCTTTACCTGCGTGTCTCCCCACAACCTTCCCAATAGCCTGAGAATGGTTCCCACTTCACAGCTGCGGAAACTGAGGCACAGAGGGGTGAACTAGCTTGGCCCAGGACAGTGGGGGCTAAGCGGCAGGGTTAGGGCTCGCATCTGGGCACGTCTGGTATGGCCTGTCTTCACGACCCTCTGAAAGGCAGGCCCCACCAGGGTGCAGCCGTGCAGGCGAGCATGGCCTATGGCTGGGAGCACCACCTGGGCCTGGGAAACGAGAGCCCACCAGGCGCTCCAGGGCGGGCATCTCCCAAGCGAGCTCTGTGGAACCTGACCTGAGGAGATGCGCGCCAGCAGGGGCACCCGTGGTCAAATACATTTGGGAAGCATTTCACCTCCACCCACTCTGGGAGATGTGCGACCCTCAAGGGGAGCGAAGGCCCTGAGAAGCACTGCAGGGGAGACACGGGTCTAACGCTTGTCCCCGTTTTGTGCACACACGTTGCCCAGCACCTTGTTAAAATGCAGAGTCTGACTCAGTGGGTCTGGGCTGGGGCCCGGGAACCTGCATTGCTCACACACCCTGGTGTTGCTGCCACCAATCCAACACCAACTACCGAGAGGCCCTGGTCCACTGTTTATCTTCCGTGATGGCCACACGGCTGCCTTCCAACTGACACCCACTCAGCCATCTGCCTACCCACATGACCACCGTCTGTCCACTGTCCCCCTCCCCTCACTCCGCTCCAGGTACACCCTCGCTGCTCCTCAAACACAGCAGACACACCCCTGCCTCAGGGCCTTTGCATGTGCTGTCCCCGCTGCCTGGCTCTGTTCCCCACTCGAATGCACCCTCCCTGTAGCTCCAGAGTCTATGGCTGTTGTGTCGGCTGGCATAGAGCAGGTGCTCGAAAAATTCTCGAGCGACTGAGTGTATTGGTCACTAACATAACAGGATTGAGCCTGGGAGCTTGGTCTCCGAGCACAGGGTCGGGTGGCTGACTACTCTGGCCTGGCAGCGAGCTTGCAGGAGTCGGCCGCGACGACGGGTCAGCACTGATCCCCCCCGGGGGACAGGGGAGTCAGAGTCTCGAGAACAGTGGCTGATCTGAGCTGGCAGAGAAAAGACTCGGGCCCCAGCGCAGGGGAAGTGGGTTTGTCCCTACCTTCAGGAAGGGGATGACGAACGGCCGCAGCGGGAAGTTGGTGGCCTCCTGGAGCTTGGAATGGAACTCCTCGATGGTCAGCGTGGAGTTCTGGGGGGCGGGGCGGGGGGAGAAAACACCTTGCTTCAGCCCCGGGGAGAGGAGGGCAGAGACTGAGGGCTGGCCCGGCCCGGGGTCACCACGTCCCCACCCGACTCACCACGAGCCCCAGCACCAGCGTGCGCACGCGCTCCCCGATCTCCGGGGAGATGTCGCTGCCGAACTGCTGCAGGGTGGCCAGGAAGCGCTTGAGTTTGCTGAGCTGCCGTGCCCCGCAGGCTGGGGGCAGCTGCTGCATGGACAGCGCGGCGGTGCATGAGGTGGCTGGGCCGTTGCTGAAGCCGCTGGGCGTGGACGGGGTGCCGCTGACGGCCGTGGGCGAGGGGCTGCTGCCGTTCATCACTGCGCGGGGAGAGGCGGGCTGAAGACGCTGCAGGGCGGCCGGGCCCCACGGACACCCTTTACAGACGCACAAACTGGGGCCCCGGCAGGGGGGGAGTACAGACGTGATCCAGGTGTGGCCCGGGCTCAGCGGCCCTTCGGCTTTGCTCTGGGCCGCGCAGTCAGGCCCTCCACACCCGGGGGACACCACGGCCGCACGCTGCCTGGCAGACACGCATCTCCTGTGAACAGGTAGAGGGGCTTCCCCACAACCGGGATCTGCAGACCCGCCCTCCTCTTCCACGGGGAGGTCCCTCATCCCCCCCTAAAGGGTAGTGACCACCCCCCCCCACCACGACGGCCCAAAGCCACGCCCCAGTGCCTATGCAGGTGCCATCACCCACATGAGGGCCCCGGTGCCAGGCTGACGGGGCTCAAGGTGGGGCAGGGGAGCCTGGACCCCCGGGACAAGCGGGGTTGGATGCTGGCGGGGGGACACCGCACAGCTGCTGTCTGGGGCTGCTGCACGGGTGGACGTGTGCGCACACGGGCCCCAGCTGCGTGCGGAGGACGAGCAGGTGACCCGAGGGGCTTGCGCTGAGCTTGTGCGGGGGCCCCGGAGCAGCACTGTGGGTGCCTGTGGTGACAGACACTGGGATGCTGTGAAGGGGACCAGGGGCAGGACCGTGATCCTCAGCTGAGTCTGCCCCAGGGCCGGGGAGCCTTGCAGAGCCTGACCACCTGCACCCCACTCCCCTGCACCAGGGCCTGCACAGAGATCAGAGGTCGTGGGCTCCCAGGGCCCTCGGTGATGGCGGAGGGGGTCTGGACACGGGAAGGCTGCACAGGACCCGCACCTTCACACTCCTGCTTGCACACCCAACTCCCGCAGGCCAACTCCCGCTCCTGCGCACGTCTGTGCTCCCTACACGATCGTCCCGAAGCCCACCCTCGCCCACACCCTGCACTCCACGTACCTTCCCTCCCTCAGCAGCCCTGCACGCACCTCACACAACATGCCAAACACACGTGCACTCATGCTCGCACACACGCGTATACGTGCATGCACACATACATAAATGTGCACACACGTGCACACACCTCACGTGTGCTTGCACACAGGCCTATATGCACTGCATGCATGCACACACGTATGTGCACATGGACCCAGTGCACAGCCCACAAAGACCTATGTACACACACACGTGCACACACATGCCCACAAGCACACCCCACATGCACACTTGCACACGTGTGCACACACGGGCACGATGCAATGTAGCCCCACGGCGCACCCATGTGCACACCCATACAGCACACATAGACGTGCACACTAGCATATGCACACGTGCAGGCACACTTCTCACTCACTCAACTGTGGTCCCCAAGGCCCGTGCCCTGGCCCTCCCGCCTTGTCTGGCTGGGTCTGTGCAGAGGCTGTGCGCTCACGCCTCGCTGGACTAGGGATCTGGGGATGCAGGACAGCTCAGAGCTGCTGTTCTCTCAGGGCCGGGTTTCTCCAGGGCTCCAGCATCTGCCGGGGCCTGTGTGTGTGGAGACGGGGGAGCAGCAGCCCCCTTCTCCCGGATGGGGATGCTGCTGGGCTCGGCTCTGGGAAGTGGCCCCTTCTGAACAGCCACAGCACAGACGGAGGGTGTGTCGCTCTGCCCGTCCAGACCACGCCAGCCCGGCTATCCTGACCTGGCTCTGGGGGGTGACCTCCGCCGTCTTGGCTTCGCCCAGCCTGCAAGGGCGGGAGCACGTGAGGTGGCCGCGTGCCCATCCCTCCTCCCTGGGCCTCGACTATCCCAGGGCTTGGTTCTCCAGGTCCCGGTTGCTGGCTCCACCCGCCCCTGCAGGCCTGTGGGATGTAGCTCCCCTCCAGCCCTAGGCCTGCGCCATCCCCCTGGGAGCTGGAACTGGAGCACCCCGTTAACCCCGAGCCCGCTGTCTGGTCGGCTCTGCTTGCACCTTCAGCTTCCATGACCCGCCTGCCGGCGACACCTGCGAACGCTCCCCCCGGCCCCCCCGCCCTGAGCTGCGGGCCAGGGACCAGCCACCTAAGCCCCAGGCAAGGGGCCTCACAGTCCCTGAACAGCGCACACAGTGTTCAAGGTCGCCTCCCGTCCCCCGGGGGCCCTGGCACTCCGCAGACCCTCAGAGGCAGACTAACGCAGCCCAGCCCTTGTGGGTGCAAGATAAGCACCCTGGTTGGGAGTGGACGTCCTGGACCAGCCCAGACATGCCATGTGGGCGAGATTCGGGCCCGGCCCCCGTTCCCTCATCAGCAGACGGCCCTCGGCCCCAACCAGAGGCGGGGCTTCTGGGCGGAGGACGGGGCGCTCCGTCTGCTGCATGCTCCCCCTCGCGGGACCCAGGTTATCCTCCCACTGGAAGGCGCCGGAAACGCCTGACCTGATTGCTTTTACGTGTTGGGTGATGGCTCATCGATAACTGGCCCCATGTAACAGACGTTTGGAAAGCCCTGGTTGAAAGCCAGGGTTGGCGCCAGAACAGACGTGCTGCCTCTGTGTCCCGAGAGGGGGCGGGCTGCAGGCGTGGTGACCCGCTCCGCTCCTGGGGCCCGTGCCCTTCACTCGGCCCTTGGTGCCGCTTCTCCCTCCCTGGAGACACAGTGCAGGTTGAAACCTGTTTGCCCCCCTGGTCTGGGCGACCTTAGAAGCTCCTTCCAGGACCCACAGGTGGCACGCCGGCTCAGGGGTAATCCTACAGGACAGTCACTCTGGGGACTTCCTCTCGCTCTGGGATGGAAGGAGCTCCAGACACAGAACACGAAGGGTCCTGTCCCTCACCCTCTCCGAGGTGTGTCCAGGGCACCCTTGGACCAGAAGACCCTGCTGTTGTGCTAATTTTCTCTGTCATTATGGAGCTGATGCGCGCACACGCGCACACACACACACACACACACACACACACACACACACACACACCCTGGTCGAGACTGATGACAGCCGCTGGTGGTCACCCCAGACAGGCCGGGAGGTGGCCTGCTGCATGGGGACCTCACCGCAGCGGGGGCTTCTGGTCACTCACGGCAGAGCTGGGCCGTCGCTCGGGGTCTGGATCCTCAGGGGCTTCGAAGACGTGCGGCTATCCGTGCCTCCTGGGACCCCACCCGCCAGCCCCTGGCCTGGCCTCCCTGTGGCGCCCTTACCCGCTTGCCCTCGGTGCCCGGTCCTCCCGGCGGCCGGCCTGCCCTCGCTCGCTGCACTCCCTCCCAGGCTGCCGGGCAGTCTCAGCAGCTTGCTAAAGAGACGCCGAAAATAACCCTCGGCCACAAGTGCTTTCATTCCCACAACAGGTGTGTTACTAAGATAGACCACACGTGTCCCGGCCGAGGTTTGGGGGCACAGCGCAGCACCCCACGGCTCCCCCAGTCCCGGGGCCTGGGCCTGGGGGGCTAGGATGAGGCACCGAAAACAGCCCCTCCCGCCAGCCCCCTTCCCAGCCTTGGTGCTGGGAATCACCATCCTCCTGTCCACACAAAGCTCACAGGCCTCACAGCACCGCAGCTCCGTGGACACGCCAGGCCCTAGATGATGCCACACCTGGGTTTACATCGGGCCGCTCCAGATGGGCGAGCCCGCTGCGCTTGCTGGCTGACACACACTGCCAGCATCGCCCCATGAGAGCCTCGCCGGAGGGCATCAGCTGCGGCTTGGGCACCTGGACGGGAACGTCCACTAGTGACCAACATCTGCCGAGCACCCCGCGTGGGCCAGGCTTCATGCTGCCGTGGCCCAGGGCTTCGTGTGACCACCCTTGGCGCGGGCTCCATAACTTTCTTTCTACAGGTGGTGGTCCCTGCCTGTGGACACTGTGCCTGGAAGGGTAAGCGTGGGGTCTGCCCCAGGCTGGGGTTTGCCCTTGAGATGGGCTGTGGACTGGCCACTGACATCTGACCTTCTTGCAACTGTGGGACCTGCCTGACTCGCCCTGTTCTGAGTTGGGGAAAAGGAAGCTGAGCGAGGCCATCCGCCTGCCTGAGGCCACAGAGCGCGTGAGCGGCAGGGCTGGGTGTGAACTCAGTCTGTGACTTGGGGATCCTGGCTGCTCTGCTCTCCTGGGTCTGTCCCTTGGGCTCCATCCCCTAAGAGAGGCCTAGCCCGGCAGATGCAGGGGTGCAGGCAGAGCAGTGGGCGCCGGGTGAGGACCTCCCGGGAGGCCGTGGTTTTTGTTATTTTACTTACAAAGACAGACCATAGACCATTTTAAGCAGCCATGAAAACGGCCGTGGGGCAGAGACATCGCAGGCCCGTCCTCTCGATCTGTAAGCAAAATAAGAAAAGCACGCTGTGAGGAGGGAGGCCGGGCACCGGACGCTGCCCTGGGGGGCGTCTACAGTCGGCCCCTCCCCTGCCTCTCGACAGCGTTTTGGGGATTGGGACTCTGTCACCACCTTGGGCCAGTCCACAACCTTCTCTGGGCCTCAGCTTCCTTCTCTGAAAAATGGGCTGGATCAGGGGATGTCTTAGGGCCGTTTCTGGTGGGAACATCTGGGGCTCCACAAGGATTCTGGCACCTCCCTGGGTACGGGTGGGACACCCTGGCTCTTAACAGCTGTGTTTCTGGAAAGCGCCTGGTGACCCCACTCGGCACCATCCTCAGGGACCCGTAGCCCAGGTGATGGGCTTGAGGTCAACAGACAAACCAACGGTGGTTCCAAAACGAAGCCCAGGTCTGAGCTGCCGTGAAGGGCAGAAGCACCAAAGAGGAAGAGAGATTTGATTTGTTTGAGCTGGAGTTAGTAGGCAAAAGCCACAAGGAGACAAGCTGTAGCACTGTCAACAGAGACTGAGCCCCCCGTCACAGGGGGTAATCAAGGGCAGGATGGAGCGCTAGCCCCTTAAGGGTCCTCCCAGCTGCCGAGCAGCTCCTTTACATCCCTCCCCAGAGTTCTCTCAGCCCTCTGCCCCAGTCCCGAGCTACACCACAGCTTCAACTCTAAAATGAATTCGTGTCCAGGGCAGTCACCAGGCAAGAAGAACCACAGCCCTCAAGCCATGGCTCAAGGTCAGTCTCTGGTCAGCTTGGCTCGCAGGCCGGTCCTGGGGAATCTGGGGAGGTTCTTGGCAAGAATCCACAGGGAACGCAGGGGCTCTGTCTACTCTGGCTCCCATCAGCAGGTGCACAGAAGCGGTTAACCACCCTGCTTTCAGGGAATTCGTGGGTTAGGGAACAAATCTGAGGCCACCTTGGAGGAAGCCTGACACTTAAGACAAAAGCCCCCAGCAGCCAGATAGCACTAGGCGTCAGCTTAGGAAAGAAAGACGCTCTTGTCTCTCATAACCTCCATGCTCTAAACGGAGCCGGGACCCCAACGAGAAGGGACGGACCCTGAGCCACACGCAGGCTGCCACCCGCACGTCTGTTCGCAGGCCTCACGGAGGCGAGCTGGTGGTGTCAGCTGACCCCAGCCCAGTCCACAGCCTGGAACATCTGGTTCCCAGACCAGCACTATCTGGAACACGGGCTCCTGGACTGGGAAGAAAAGCAGGCCAGGGAGTCGCACCCACGAGGGTCGGGGTCCCCGGGTCGGAGCCCTCGACCAGACCCTCAGATGGTCTGCTGGTCTCTCCTGCTTGGAACCCGGACAACAGTTGTGGGGCACGTCATCTTCCCAGGGGGAGCTGCTGTTGCCCCGTCAGGAAGAACTCCTTTTCCCGCCCGGGCTGAGCGTAGGTGGGGGAAGTTTCGCCAGGCTGGAGCCTCCCCTCTCCACCCACGAGGCCGCACGGGGAGGCAGTGGTCAGTGGACGGAGACCGGCCTGCAGCTCAGCCCGAGGTGAGGACTGACTCTTCTGGAAAAGAGGGAGGGGTGACAGTCCCCGGGCGAGAAGAGTGAATGAGACAAAGCACGGCCACCTCTGGCCACTCCCGTGCGGCCAGTG